TTGACCTGAAACTTAATGTATCCAATTGATGATTTGATTTGTCAGGAAATAAATTAGCACAAAATGATTTGTAATTTTTTGTTTTGCTCGATTASAATCATTTACCATATATGAATAACGATTCTCATTCTTTTAATTACTAATAATGATTCAATATTTGTATTGTTCCATTGGGAAATGCTCACAAMAAGTCAGACAAGATCTTTATTCCCTTGATTTATTATCATTCATAGAGTATAATTCAAGTTTACATTTACAACGTGACATGACTAAATTATAAATTATAAAATAAAATTCCTTTCAACCTATTTTCTGCGTTTTGCTTTCTTAATCTGCTCTAACGAAACCTTCCCAGAAAATCATTTCCCCCCCCCCACACTTTGGCATAACTTAAACAGAATCATCACTTGAACAATAAATTTTAATAGCTGCACACATTTTTGGATGTGCAATCTTCATGAATTATTATTATCCTATTTGATTGCTATCTATTAATGTATTTCCAACCCTTTTCTATGTCGATTAAACTTTTATAATGAACTTGTCTTATGCTTTTCATCAAGAAAGCACAAATTATTTCAATGTATTGATGGTTTTCAACCATTCCCAACAGAAATAAATAACAAGACATGGCGGCCATGTTGGAGGATATAACAAAATAATTCATTGTCAATTCTTTTGTTAAGTTCCTCCAACATGGCCGAGGTGAAAACCATCAATTGCGGATAAGGACTAGACAAGAACATCGCATTTCCCCCCACGATGCAACCATTTTGGACAAAGTCTTGAATTGTAAAATAAAGCAATTCTTTGGACCAAGAAAGGTAGCATTGTGAAAAAATGGAATTTACACGTTTTCWTTTAACAGAATTATTCACATCTTTACTGTACAATATGAAGATAATAACATACCCCACAATAATAATATACCCTTAAAAGTAAAATTTTATCGCTAAAATTTCAAGTCCCCTCCAAGTTTTATTTCTTGATTAACATTATAATTATACAGCTTCTCATTAATCCGATATAGGTAACTGTCCAATTATTTTCTTACTTGGACAGGTCTTGTTGATATGCGATTAATTAGGCAGCTATATAATTAATAGGTAATTGGATTTCATGCTCCCCAATCAAGAAATAATTAGACTCGAAAAATTCCTCTGACTGCCAAATTGGACTCGGCCTACGGCCTCATCCAATTTTTTCAGTCCTTGGAATTTTCCTCCTCGTCCAATTATTTCTTAATTGGACAGCATGGAGTCCTATTAGATATACTAATTTAATAATTTACCCAAAATTTGAACTCCTTTGGTAATATATTCAAAATGCCTAGGATTCCTAGGATTGTAATGAATGTAATTTTGAGGCTTTTCAATATCCATTCTTCATGAAATGTATTAGTAATTTTACTTCAGTTATTCATTTATTGTGATTTGTAATTATATATTCTAATATTTTGTGTTTTCACCCTTTGATATGATGTACATTCAAATTTTGTTATTGACAAGAAAAAAAATCTTTGCCTTGTGGTTTACTTAGGATTGTTAAAATTAAAGACACTCAAAAAAAAAAAAACAACACTAACGTTATAGATCTTTTTGTTTTTAACTTTAGTAAGCATGTTTGGTCTTTAGTACATGTATAAGCAATCTGCAAAGCAATGCAAGGCTTTGGGTCTCAAAAATGGGGTGACGGGAGAATTTACAAGGAACTGTTTTTAGGAATACTGTACCACAAGACCTTAGCAAAAAGCAGATTTATAGTCAAATGACACAAGTTCATAGCCAMTCAGTGAACACCTTGATGTTAATTGAGTTACAGTTAAAAACATTTGAAACCTTTCTATTTTAAATAATTATCATAACAAGCTGGGCCTGGTTGTACGAAGCCTGGATAGCGCTATCCAATGGATAAATCCTTATCCAGTGGATAAATTTATTGGATAACAGCATCAACTTATCCACTGGATAAGGATTTATCCGCCGGATAGTGCTATCCAGGCTTTGTACAATAATATTGAACCCAGATTTAAAATGTACACCTCGTAAGTAGGGATTAAATTTGAAGGTTGGATTTTGTGTGATTGAAGTACAGCCATGCTCRATATCATTGACAAACAAATTTCCTAGCAGGCGTGTAGATGTTTCTCATTCCCCTTTCCCATAGGGAGAAACGGGAGTCTCCATATAAGCTACATTAGTATTTCTTGTTACTTGAGGTTACCCTCAAAACCTCAGCTTCAAAATACTCAAAAATACAATGGTTAAAGCAAAGAATTCAGACATTCAATAATGAACTTTCAAATTCAAAAGACTTTCACTGAAAGACATGAATATTCTACATAAAATCGAGGCTAACCCTGAACAACAGAGAAGTTGAAGCTATTTTTAATCATCACAAAATCCACCCACATTAGTACCAGTATAATATTATTTATAGACCCTAACAAAATATATATTTATAATAAAATAATAGCAATAATTTAGTGTGACATTAMCTGAGAAATAACTTAATTTATGTTATTTTTGAATTCTTCCATTGTATCTATTTGTCCGTTCCATATAAAGTCAAAGAAAGGGACTTTAGATAGCCAGTTATTTTGCTTTTTTGGTCATACATTCCTAAGTTTTCTTCATCCTGTAGGACATCTTCAAGTTGTTGAGCCTCATCTTGTGAAGCAATTTGATCTCTCATGTARTCACCACCAAATCTTCCATGTCTAATTTCGTCGCGAAATTTATCATAATTATTGGCTAATTCCTCTGCTTCAGACCGCTTGAACTGCCTTGGCTTTTCTACTTCATAGCCTGCACCATATGGGAAGGGTATTTCATTTCGATGTGCCTTCTTCCTACGTCGAGAATTTATTTCTTGTCTTTCTTCTTCTTCCATGTCAAAGGTTGCCCTCTTCTTATTCATGGAATCAGAATTATCAGTGAATGTGATTTCCCACCATCCTGCAGGATTTTCACCCCAGAAGTGCACCGTCATGAAGGTCCAATTGTCCAACCCATTTGAGGAGCTATCGTAACGACGGGTGGACAATAACATGCTGTCAGTTCCCATTGGTGAACGAATGCTGATGCTCAAGGCTCCTCTGTGTTGGTGAGCCAGGGAGACAGTCACTTGGACATGTTCCAGTTTCTTTATTTCATTATTTTTCCCCTTGCATCCATCTGTCCTGATCCGTACAACTAGCTTTCCATTTCTTTCAAAATGCCTATTTTCATGCTTAATGCCCTTCACGTTACAAACATGTTGTTCAGCAACATGCTTCCATCCTAATGCTGCATTGATGAGTGAGGAGGCATTTAAACGTCCAAATCCAAATTTATGATTGAAGAGGACATTTGCACCATTTCGTCTCCATCCTTCATCCTTGGGGCTTGTCACCTGTGCTGTTTGTACTACGATATGCTGGAGATCTCGCCAGGTGAGGTTGGGATTGGCTTCAAGTACTAATGCAAATATACCAGAAGCAAGGGGAGCTGCTGACGACGTACCGCGGAATTTCTTGGTGCACTTGTGTTTGAGGTCTGTTGTCACAAGAACAAATTCTTCTTCACCACCTCGATGGCTGTCTCCCGTGAATGTCACACACATGGTAGATGAACATTGTTCATCATAGTATGTGGACAAGCCATAGGAGCTGACGGCACCTACTGAAATGGTATATATGCTTGAGGTGTAGCCATCACAGTTACAGTCATCATCTACAAGACCACCATTTCCTGTTGCCCAGACAAAGATGGATCCCTTACCTAAAAGATACACAAGATAAGACATTATCAATATACCTAACCAACTGGTTTTAGTACACAACCAAAAGGCTTTTATAAAAAAAATTAATATTTATGACAATCTTAGTATAGTCAACAATCTGTGTCACTACTATGATACAATCTTTGTCAGAATTTTTTCAAAGGCCTGAGGTAAATAATGCTTTCAAACTTTTCAATTAAAATAAGATTTTCTCTAGAAATATCTTGTTTCTGAAAAAGGCATATTTTGTGTTTTACTTTTATCTAATAGTTGTAACTCTTAGTAAGACACTTGTGTCAGACTATAAGATTTGAAATAAAGAGAAAATAGAAAATAAAAGAGATTACAGTCAAAAAGGCACATGAAAATCTTTAAAATAGCAAAAATATAAGTGACACCTTAAGTTTGTTTTTGTTACATTTCTTTATATAACAAAAGATCAGAAAAAATAAATATTTATGTGTAAAAAATAAAAAATTTAATTCTCGAATAGAAAGATAAAAAGGRCATGAATCAGAGATATTATTGGTCATAGAAAAACAAAAAAGAATTTTACAGTAATACAAAAATAATTAGATCTATTTTTCAATTATATTTTCTYATTTCAAAGACAAACCAACAAAGTGCTGACAGAAAACCAATTGACTGCGGCTTGGAGTTACATTTTCGCCTCTAATCAAATTTTTYCCCCAAAAAATGATTCAAATGCTAAATATTGAATAATAATACAAAACAAAAATAATTTCATTAGTAGTTATATTACCTATACCGGAGATGAAAAAATTGAAAATCAAATAAAAAACAAGATCGTTTGCGTTTGCTGTGGAAGTAGAGCTCATACAAACGAAAATCAGCTGGAGTTAAAGGGATATTAGTAGAACAAACTAAAAAGATGTTTTCGGGAATGACAAAGGGTATTAAACTTTTTCCCTTTCCGACACCCACGTAGGGAAGACAGCATAAAAAAATTACCATAATGTTAAGAATTATTTTTACTAGACATTTTTTCCTCGTAGGAAATTTTTAGAATTTTTCGATAAATGATTTTCAATTTGGTAAATAAGATCAAGAAAGAAATTTTAGGTTAGGGATGACAAAAATAAATAAAACTGAGATCAATATGTCAGTGAAAAATTAGGCATGATACGAAGGAATTCAACTGCTGTTGAATTATATATGACCGCAAATTCGTATATTTTTGTAAAGAGATTTTTCGTCACTGATATTATGGACAAACAACTCTAGAAGAATTAGGAGGCCACCAAGATCGAACTAGTGATAATATCTTAAGAATTTATGCTCAAATTAGACCTCTTTTTTTCGCTTTTAAACATGTTCTAATAATTCAATCGTTGAAGCAAAAATAAACAAACCAAAATGCCCTACCTCCTCGGCCTTTCATCGCTCCATTTTTCAATGCTTTTTGACCAAGTGGTCCTGGTCTTCCAAACGTTTTTCCATCGTCTTTAGGGCCCCAGCAGTTACTATAGATATCTACGTACTGTGGTTTGAAGCTAAGGGCATGAGATTCAAGCAAGTCTGTAGCTGTTCCATCGAGCATTCTCACTCCTCCAAGACTAACATTCGGCGCGACTCCGACACCACATATTTCGTTATCTGCTTGAGCGCCAACTTCCCCTCCACATTTTGTTCCATGAGCGTTGTATGGGTCTGAATCGTTGGGAAATGGGTCATCGTCCTTGCTGTTGAGATCGATGCTGGCTTTGGGGTCGTAGTTTCGTTTTAGATCAGGATGAGTATGGTCTAGACCATCGTCTAAGATACTGACAACAACTCCTTTGCCAGTGTACCCTCTCTTCCATACAGGTAGTACGCCAATGTCATTACCTTTGGGAATACCAAATTGGCCGTGATTTTTAAGATACCACTGCTGAGGGAAGGACGGATCGTTGAAATATCTCTTGTCTCGTTCTTGTTCGCTCGCTTCTAACGCATCGAAAAAGTCTCGTTTCACTCGTTCGAGGATCCGTTGTTGCTGAGCCCATTTGACTCTTGGGTGAGCGATCAGCCGTTTCGTTAGCGTCATCGTACTTCTCTTACTTCGTGTGCCTTTCTCCTCGCGAACAAATTCATAATGTCCTGGTAAAGATCCTATTCTACCAATATTCTTGAACCCATAACTACGAGCGATTTCGTCTACTTCAGAATTATCATCAGAATCGACTTCAACTGCCCAAATATTACTCAAACCCTTTCCGTCTTCTCGGTCGAACGGTCCTAACTCTTCGGCATTTTCTTCTACATCAGATGCCACCAATGTTCCAATTAAACTAGTAAAAATAACCAACGACCATAAAGATAGTCTTATATTCATTTGGGAAGCTAAAAGGACCCAAAGTCCTTGACAACAACACTATTTTYGACGAGCGAGTCTACCCTGCTCTTCTTCGGAATATAAATTTACGAAAGATCAGTAGGTCATCTATATGCATACATTAAACAACCGCTCCGAAGAGCCAATCATAGAAGGGGCAGGTTTTACAGTAGCGGGGGAGTTGCTTAGCAATGTGACGGCATACAGTTCAATATGGAGTGGGATAAACCTATTTGACAGTTGATTTCCGCCTTTTTTGGCGCAGAAAATAAGAAATTGGGCATACAATAAATTGACTTGAAATATTGATGAAAAACGGTTTTAAATAAGTCCGTTTGTAAAAATTCTTCCTTCGTTTCGCCAGGAGTTCACATAAGTTTAACTACCAAAACTGCTGTGAGAATTTTGCACCAAATTGCATATGGATAGTGAATTAACGGATTTTTGATATTCGTGAATTTTGTTCACAAACACTCACGCCTTCAGTGGCAGACAAAGGAAAGAAAGAATGAATGTGGGACAGGTGAAAAAAAGAGAAAATTTGATAGTATTTTTCAAAGTGAGTATGAGAAACGGTATTCCTTTGGGAAATCCTCATAATTTATGACTGGAGACAGTATATCTTTTTCAGCAAAATAACTAGACAACATCAAATGAATTGGAAATCATAAAGAAATAATTCCTATTTGATCTATTTTAAATAGACTTCAGCGAATTTAACTCTAGCATGAATGAAAAACACTGAGAAGCCTTACTTAGCTGCTCTTTACTTAATTATATTTAGCATATTGGGCTGCCTTAAGCCAAAGAGAACAGGTGAAACTAAAGCTCAAATACAAATCGATAAACAATCAGGTCAAATGGAATTTAAAAATCGATTCGACTAAGATTTGACCAATAATTATACATCTGATCTGATGTATGGAGGAAAGAAAATGGGAAGTTTAAGGGGAAAAACATATTTATATTACTATCAGAATAAAAATCTAAAGATAAAAACAGACTTCGGTGGACACCAAGCAAAATGTAAATCCTTCGTATTTTTTTAAAAAAAAGGTGGATAAGTAAAGCAGTTATTATCAAAGAACGAGAAAAATCCAAATTACGTACTGCGACTAGAAATTAGAAGTAAAATKATGAAGAAAAAATTAGGAATAAATGAAGAAAATAAGGACATCTCTTTTGCTACATCATCCGAACATGGCCGCCGCGTCTTTCGTTATTTCATCATTTGGGAATGATTGAAAACCAGCTATTGGTGTACTATAAATCCAGTTTTATATTTATGACGACAGCTATATWGAAATGCTTCACCCACATAAGTTAGTGTCCGGATAAAATGACTGTATGGGTGGGTGTCACACGACGTCAACGGAACCGAAATTCATTCATTTACTCCTTTAAATATATATTGTGACCTCGATATTTTCTTCTTGTATATAAGTTAATTCTATGAAACGTTGAAACATTTTGAAACACCCGGGGTTTTTGTTACGAGGGAAATATCTAGACCGTTGGAGCTGTGAAGCCCATTCACCTGTACGACTTTATTGGAGATATGAAGCTGCGAAACTGGATTGCCCCTGAATACAAATGAAGAAACAAGAATAACAAATTAAAGCCATTGAAGTCTTCTGACTGATAAAAGGGACCTTTTTTTATTTGAACCATGCTTTTGATCTACCTTAATGAACTTTTTTACCGGCTTTGATGTATTTTCAATAGGATTCTCAGTCGAAAAGTGAAATGAGTTCTCAATCGATGGACAAACAACAGAATGAGCATGCAGAATGAGCATGCAGAATGAAACCAAGTAAAAATTAAAATTCCTCAAGAATTTCAACATTCGAAAATACTATCGTTTCATTTTGAACGTTTCTTTTTAGTCGTGAATACGCGAAGATAGAAACGTATGATTTTAGATACCCGAGTCAATAACATTTGAGCTATGCTCTTATCGGTTTGTTTGCTTTTCAGTATTAGTGATAACGGTATCCTAATTCACATGCGCAAGGTTGATGTCTTAAGAGTTTTTGTGTGAGAATCAATCATGGAAGTGAAATTGGAAAATGCATGTSATACAGGAAATATAATAAAGTAATCAGGCAAGCAAAGAACAGCTGTTACTCAAATGAGGGCATACACAATCCCGTTACTACAGGAGACTTATCTAGCGTTCAACCTCGCGAGAGTGAAGGAGGGAGGGGTGACTTTTAGGAGTTAAGGGGACCACTAAAATGCTTAAGTAAAGTCTATAGCTTTCATAACGTTAACAAATAATTTATTGTCAATTCAATATTAGTTTCTTGAAGTTAGAACTGTTAAACAATTCAAGTTATTATGATAATGCTTTATGTAAATTCCCAGACATCTTCTCTAAAGATGCTATAATATTTCTTAAATAACTACTTTTCTAAGATGCTAATATTTCTTAAATAACTAACTTTCTACAATCCATCTTTCTCCATAATAACTATAGCTACACTTCGCAACCCCAAAAAAGGTTTGGTTGATAGGGTTGGATCCAGGGGGTGGGGAGATCTTTTAGGGGTCAAACCATTTCACATAGTGTTCTGTGTTTTACGATGATGACAATTCCGTTATGAATCCCATTTGACCCCATGTTACATTTATTTAGTTCA